GCCGGAAGTCCACATTCCGAACTTTGGCTGTAAAATTGGGATCTGGACTTGTGGGCACATGCCCGGCTTTCTACTTTGTATCCCCTAACTGTAATCACTTTCCAACACCTTATCAATGACTGTCAGCTTGATCAATACATAAACACACATTGTGAACATATCCACTTACTCTCGGATTCCAGCGCTGTACCAATTTTTGCACACCAATGTGGCCTTGACCCAATTGATACCATTGGTACTTCTTGGAATGAACAAAAAGACATTTGCCAAAACACGTTTGGGTAAATTATTCCAACCCATTTTGTCATGGATCCCCATTGTGGTTTCTTTGGAGCGATTTGTGGTATAGGCTGGAATCAGATAGCACAAAAATAGCAGGTGTATAACTGTAAACTTGTTTATTTGATCAATGAGGGTTGAGTATTCAAAGGATGGAGCTATACACACTTTATATAAACAAAATTTTGGGATGAATCCTTTGCGGAAGGCAATGGTGTGTCATCGATGAGGATCTTTTGGACGTTCAGGGTTCTCAACAGGACGTTCATTTCATCATTGATTTTTCACCAGGGCCTCAAAATCAACCAAGAACAACAACACATAAGCTATGTATTTCAATAAGGGTGCAAAGGAGGGACAATCAAGAGAAACAAGGGGGGCAAACAAGTGACAAGAAAGAGAAGACATGAGACTTTGAACAGAGGGACACTCAATAAAAGGAGAAAACAAACACAATATCAAACTTAGGGCTGCTGTCCTCCTTGTCTTCATTGTCATCTTCAGAAGGAGTATAATCACCATCCTTGCTTTCCTCCTCCAAGTCACCAAAATCGCCAGATGCGAAGTACAGGCTGGCAACTGTGGCAGCCTTCTCCTCTGCATTGCTTCCATCACTAGGCTCAGTTAAGTCATTTGAGTTGTCCATATTCTCCTTGTAGATATGCCTGTTTACAAATGCTTCTCCATTGTTGTATTCTTTGTCATCTTTGCCAGAAGTTGTGTTGATGTGGTAAGGCGCGCTTAGTCTATCATAGTACTTCCTGTTGAAATCACACCCATTCATCTTTTCGGATGGATTCTTGTTGGGAGTCAGAATGAAGCATTTGGTGGTGTTGGGTAATAATGTGACTTGATTTTGTTTGACAAATTCTTCCTTCTGTGATAATGCAATCCATTGAACCAGTGAGTGTTTTAGCAATCAAGGGGAAGTTGGTGGGGAGGAGACTTGAACGTGGAAGCAACAGGGACTGAAGGTAGCAGACAAGGAGGTTGCTTCAAGACCTTACCAGCTGAGGTCAGAGAACAAGACATCATCGAGTCAAGTCTTTGGAAAAACTTGTTGGCCTTGGCCAAACAATATTCAAGGGTCTTCATTAAATAGACATTGTTTTCAATGTGGTGTTCATCGTTGCTGTGAGCGTAGGGCTGAGCCAAGATAGCCAAGTAGCGGAGTGGGAATTTGTTGAGTTTGGTGAATGCTTTGTGGTTGCTGGCAAGCTGACAGTCAAGCAGTATAGCATTCAGCACAGGATGGGAACAAACAAACTCACTCTTCTGCAACGTTGAGATATGGTTTTGATATTTTTGGCTTTTGCCAGACGTCCTGGAGCATTGAATTCTCTTTTTAATTTACTGACAGAAAGATAATGTACGTAGTGGTTGTATACAGACGTGAGAAAGCCAATGGGGTTGAGTAAATCAGGGTTGACTTGAAGGTATTGGTAGAAAGGCCCAGATGAAACTTCCCAAAAGGGTTGGGTGGCAATGTATTAGCAGGCACCATTGAATGAGGAATCATGACTCTGGGTCAAATCAGGGCCCCATACTAATAAGCCTGCTTTTGAGAGAGACACGTGTATGGTGAGAATTGCTTGCTGATCCAATGTGATCATGCCGTGGGAGACACAGATTTGGCCCATGGTTGCTTCCTGCAGTGTTTGAATTTGGTGTTGAGCCACCAGCATAGGTGTGGCAGCGCTGTTGATTGCGGCCTGGACTGCCTCGAGATTTGTGTACAAAGCTGCAAAGAACTGCATTCTGGCTTCATCGGCAGGGGATGGAACTGACTTCACCTTCAGCATTCCCCAAAGGACTTGGATGTGAACTTTGAATGCAATCTTGGGTTTGAAAGGGAGTCAATGTGCATGTATGCCAGGTGAGAACAATGAATGACCTTACCTTGTTTTTCTCATGCCCTACTGGATACTCGCGTGTGAAGACTTGATGAGTGTGTCTTTGAGGCGGAGTACTACTTGGAGGTTTTACAGGACTCGCCTTGACACTTGCTTTTCCTGTTGAGGAACACACAGGGGGCTCTGATGCAGCTTGGGTAAAGGTTTTTGCAGGGGTTGAGCTAATGTTGACCAAAATTTGGGGCACTGATTTATTCTGTGTGGTGGTGTTGGGTTGCGCCAAGGTACTGGCAGGGAGATTATTGGGTTTGTCCGTTTTGTCTACTGTTAACTGGGCTAACATTTGTTCTATAAGCAAGTCTCAAGATTAAAGTTTAGACTCAAACCTTTGGCTTTGAGCCTTGAGATCCTGAGCTATGGTGTGTTGGATGTCTGATGGAAAATCACCTGTGATGGCTAATTGCTGAGATAAGGTAGGGTTGGTGTGGGCAACGCCAGAACCAATCCGACCCAATACAATATATCAGGGTCTTTTCATATCGTATTGGTGAACCAATATATGCGAACCAATACCCAATACAATATGGAGAAAAAAAAATTCCGGCTCCTGATGTCGTATCGCTCAAGCAATACGACCCGATACAATATGGCAATCAAATATCGCTTTCATGAAGGTAAATTCAAAAAACTTTAAAAATCATGTATATTCAAAAAAAACTTGAAATATCATGTATATGTATATAACAACGTGAATAGATTGTTATAAATCAATTGTTTAAGGAAGAATATCATAAAGAAAGAAAGAAACATTTTTTTTACTGCTGCCTTGTCTGAGCAAGTACTTTTTGATCAGTTCCGCTCCTTCAACAAACTCTTGTGGTGGAGAAACCCCAGATTTAATCCATTCTCTACAACCTACAGACCTCTCCATTGTGCTTGAGTCCAGGCCACCACAATCAGGCTGACAGACGTCAGCTGCAGAGGAAAACGTCCTTTCAACAGCGCATGTTGTACCAGAACACGCCAAATAGTTCTCTGCAACACTGGCAACCAATGGAAACCACTTAGAGTTGTCCTAACACACAAATGTATAAGCTATAAGCATAAACGTCAGATAGATAATATTGAAATACACACAAACATTCCACCACTTCAACATGCATCCATCCTTATAGGGATACTTAGTCCCCAGATAAAGGTCCAATTCATCGATTTGATTGGTGGATTCAGAGACGTCTGAAGGTCAAAACAAATTATCATCGTCTTGGTCATCCTGAATCTCTTTTGGATTGGGATCGTTTGATTCCAAAGCCTGGGACGCCGCAGTTGTCAAAGGCTGACTTGTTGAGTTATTGAGATTGGCTGCTAAAGCTTCCGCATCTTGAAAGGCCTTATCCAACACGCGTTTCAAGAGCTGTTGAACTTGGGAAACCTCGGCAAGATAATAATTTTCAAAAAACTTGATGCGCTTGCTGGGATTTAATACAGTAGCTAGGACAAGAGTATCACAATTGAGCACCTCTTTCTGATAAACTGTGAGTTTTTTGAGCATGACACCAATCATTTTATGTAAACTTTTATATTGAGTTTCTTCTTCCAACTTCTGTAGAGCCTTTTCCATGCGACAATACTCAGAAAGCACACGTGCTCCTGAAGGGTGATCACCTTCCATCATTAAAGTTGAGGATAGAAATACCTACCAAAAATCGAATATCCAAAGATTAGTTGAGTCACCTAAATCATGTTGGAATATACGTACCTCTAGCACACTGTTTGAAGCCCTTATAGCGGCCCATTCACTCTGTGTGATACACATTTCATCGAACAGATGAGTGTCAACTCCTCCCAAAATCTGTGTCACAGTCTGAAAACAAATTTTACAGTGAGTCAAGAGAAGAATACAAATCCAATAATCAATGGATTAAACTTACCTCTTGTGCTTGACAGACCTTTTGGCAAGAGGTGACCGCTGCATTCCAACGAATCCCATAACCGGCCGTAATTGATCCTTTGCCTTCCCTTCGAGCTTTGAAAAGGGCTTGCAGGGCAGGATTGGCACAAA